ACATTTCTTTACTTTTCTCTAGTCGAATTCTGATCATCAAGCCACTGAAGCTAGGTCAAATGAGTACTACCTGCAAGTTTGGGCATTCTTGTGCGTCTCCAGTCACTTTATATCATCTGGATTCTTCACTATCAGCTCTAGCCCTCCATGGCTAGGTCCTTGTTCATGGGCTCAGGAGTCCCCAGGTCTCTCCACACTTCAGACCAAACAGCCCTTCCTCTTCTCTCTCTCATCTCAAGGTAACGGGAGTCTATGGAACGTGGTTGAACTCAGCCCATGTCTTCATTGCTGCCTTTCCATTTCCACTCACAAGTACACCAACACAGTAGCCAGCAAGCTTACATGCCTGTTTGTTTGTTCCCTTTGAGTTTCAGTATTGGATGCAATATTTAGGAATAAATTTAACCAGAGAAACAAAGGACCTACACAAAGAAAATTAAAAACACTAATACAGGAAACCAAAAAAGACATACAGAAGTGGAAGAACATACCATGCGCCTGGATAGGAAGACTAAACATCGTGAAAATGTCAATACTGCCCAAAGCAATTTACACATATAATGCAATCCCAATCCAGATTACAACAACATTGTTCAAAGAGATGGAAAAGATAAACTTTATATGGAAAGGAAAGAGACCCAGGATAAGCAAAGCATTACTTAAGAAGAAGAGCAAGGGTGGAGGCCTCTCACTCCCTGATTTCAAAATTTACTACATGGCTACAGTGGTCGAAACAGCCTGAGAATTGAGAATCCAGAAATTAACCCATCCACATACAGCCAACTGATTTTCGACAAAGTGCCTAGGTATATTGCATGGGGAAGAGATAGTCTCTTTAACAGCTGGTGCTGGCAGAACTGGAAAGCAATATGCAAAAGATTGAAACAAGACCTTTATCTCACGCCCTATACAAAAACCAACTCAACATGGATTAAAGATCTAAATGTGAATCCCAAAATTATGAAGGTCATCAATGAAAAAAATAGGGACAAATGTGAGGGTGCTAATTCGGGGCATACACAGACTACCAAACATTTTGAAAATTACACAAACAAAATTAAACAAAATAGATGATTGGGGCATACTAAAAATTAAAAACTTATGTGCATCAAAATACTTCACCAAAAGAGTAAAAAGGGAACCCACAAAATGGGAAAAAAATATTTTGCAATGACATATCAGATAAGGGATTCATCTCTAAAATATATAGGAAACTACAACACCTCTACAAGAAACAGACAAATAACCCAGTTAAATATGGGCACAGGACATGAACAGACACTTCACCAAGGAGGAGATCTGGGAAACCAACAAACATATGAAGAAATGTTCATGATCACTAGCTATTG